TCCTCCACAGGGCCTTCTCCATCTAAGACTTAATAAGGCTGGCGTGACTCTGTGTCCCCAGCTGAATGCAAGTACCTGGGGCGGACTGTCTGCTGCCACCACTGCTCTAAATGCCTACATGAACAGATGCTCCGTTTACATCTGTGGAAGGAATGAATTACAGCCACAACACCCCATGGTGAGGAGCAGTACAAATCTTCCTCAAACTCATCCCTAAAAATGTGGAGAAAGGAATACTTCCTAACTCATTTTAAAGGGTCAGCATTACTCTGACACCAAAGTTAGACAAAGACATTATAAGAAAATTTTATATATGTATTATATATACACACACACACACTTTACAAATACTGATAGTAAAAAATATTTTCATGAAAACATTAGCAAATTGAATTCCGCAGTCCTTTTTTTTTTTTTTTTTTTTTTGGTTTTTTGATACAGGTTCTCGCTATGTAGCCCAGCCTGGCCTCAAACTAGTAATCCTCTTGCCTCAGCCTCCCAAGTGCTGGAAATGCAGGTATGCACCACCATATAAGTACTGACTATTAAAACATCGGCAGACCATGACAAAGTGAGATTTACTCCTAGAATGCAAGAACAATTCAACATACAAACATTTGATCTACATACACTACCAGCATGAAAGAAAAAACCCACACAATCACTTTAAGTGATGCAGAAAAAGCACTAACAAAATTCAACTCCCTTTCAGGATTAAGAAAACCCTCAAGGGCCAGGGATATAGCTCAGTGGCGCAAGTGCCTGCCTGGCAAGCGCGAGGTCACAAGTTCAATTCCCGGTACCAAAAAAAAAAAAGAAAATCCTCTAAAAGCTATGACAGCTGGGTGTGGTGGCACCTGTAATCCTAGGACTCAGGAGGCTGAGGCAGGAGGATTGTTGCGAGTTCAAAGCCAGCCTGGGCTACAAAGTGAGCACAAGGCCTGTCTCAAAAAGACCAAAAAGACCAAAAAAATAGCAAGACTGTCTCAAAAAGACCAAAAAAAAAAAAACTATGACAGGAAGGAAACTCAACATGATAAAAACTGTATATAGGGCCTGGGATATAGCTCAGTGGTACAAGCACCTGCGTGGCAAGCAAAGGTTCCGAGTTCAATTCCTGGTACAAAAAAAAAAAAAAAAACTATATAAAAATCCAAAGTTGGAGGTGTGGTGTCGTATGTCTGGATCTCAGCTACCTGGGAGGCTGAGGGAGGAGGATCATGAGTTCAAGGACAGCCTGGGCAACCCTGAGACTCTTTCTCAAAATAAAAAAATAAGCCAGGCGTGGTGGCGCATGCCAGTAATCCCAGCACTCCGGAGGCTGAGGCAGGAGGATCACTGCAAGTTCAAGACCAGCCTGGGCTACAAAGTGAGCTCAAGGCCAGCCTGAACTGCACAGCGAGACCCTCTCTCAAAAAGACTAACTAACTAAAAAAATAAATAAATTAAAATGCTGGGGGTGTAGCTCAGTGGCAGAGTGTTTGCCTATGATGCGTAAGGTTCCAGGTTCAATCTCCAGTGAGGAGGGGATGACCATGTATTAAAGGACATTATTAGGAAGACAACCTAATGAATGGGAAAAATATTTGCAAAACATATATCTGATTAGTTGTAAATATCCAAGCTATATGAAGAACTCTTACACCTCTACAACAACAACTAAAAAAAAAAAAAAGCCCACACAACTCGATTTTCAAAACAAGTAAAAGACTGAATACGCATTTCTCCAAAGACAACATGCACACAGCCATAAATACATGAAAAGACATCCGGCGTTGCTGATCATTAGGGAAATGCGATCAAAACCATAGTGAGACACGGCTTCTACTCAGTGGGATGGCTATAATCTAAAAAGGAAAGGAGAAGCCGGGCATGGGGGTGCATGCTGAGGTAGGAGGATCACTGTGACTTTGAGGCCAGCCTGCACCACATAAATGAGTTCAAGGCCAGCCTGAACTGCACAGTGAGACCCTATCTCAAAAAAGACCAAGAATAATTAATTAATTAATTAATTAAAAAAATAAAAAGGAAAGGAGAGAAGAAGTGCAGAGCAGGAGGTGGAGAACGGAACCCTTGTGCCCTGCTGCTGGGGATGTGAAATGGCCCAGCTCCTGTGGGAACCACTATGGGGGGCCTGCAGCCTCAAAAGATTAGACACAAGTGGGGCCTGGCGGTGCACACCTGTAATCCCAGCACTCAGGAGGGAGGCTGAGGTAGGAGGGTTACTGTGAGTTCAAGGCCAGTTTGTACTACATAGTGAGACCCTGCCTCAAAAAAAAAAAAGATTTTTTTCACATCAGGAATAGAGGGGTCAAGTAGTTCCCATAAATTTAATTTTCCTTTTTACCATCCTCAGGGATGACACAGCCTCGAGTCCTGTTACCTGTCCCAACACAGATTCCCTTTAAAGTTAGTATGAATGAGCACCGCAGGAACCACAAAAGGCAGAAGCTGCAGTCACATAAGCAGCAAATAACCCTCCGCACAGCGCTGTTCGCTCTCCACACAAGGCCGCGCCAGGAGCCTGTGAGGAGAAAACCACCTGGGACCTCACGCCCATCCCCGCACCTGGGGGATCAAGGCTTGGCTGCTTCCCTCCGTTCCTAACCCAGGACACTGGAAACAGCGCAGCAGCCCAGCACGGAGGAACGCGGGGCTGATGGAAGTGAACCGGGAGCTCACCGCAAACGCGGGCTACTCCAAGCTGTGGCTACTTCCCCGGCTCAAAAATAAGACAGGCAGCCGGATGGTCGTAATGTACGCCTGTAATCCTAGCACTCTGGAGGCTGAGGCAGGAGGATTGCTACAAGTTTGAGACCAGCCTGGGCTACAAAGTGAGTTCAAAGGCAGCCTGAACTGTATAGTGAAACCCTGTCTCGAAAAGAAAAAAAAAAAAAAAAAGATTAGACACAGAGTGTGATCCAACAATTCCCTTCTGGGTATACACCCAAAAGAAGTCAGAGCAGAGATTCAAATGGCTGTTCTTACTTCCACGTTTAGAGCAGCATTACCAACAGCAAGCAAAAGGTGAAAGCCACCCAACTGCTCATCAGTAGATAAATGGATCATCAAAATGCCTTAAAAAGTGATGAAATTTTGCACCTGCTAGGACACGGATAAGACACTAGATTAAGTGAAATAATACTGCATGACTCAACTTACATAATGTACCTAGAGTAGTCAATTCATATCCACAGACACCACAGTGCATTCCAGAGGGAAGGAAAGAGGCATGAGGAGTTACTGTTCTAATACCTAGAGTTTCTGTTCGGAATGATGAAAAGGTTCGGAAAACAGCCTGTGGTGTGATTACAATGTAGATGTACTTAATACTGTTGCACTCTACGTTGTAAAATTATAAATTTTATGTACATTTTACTACATTTTAAAAAAATTTATATTTGTCTTTTTGAGACAGGGTCTCACTATGTAGTTCAGGCTGGCCTTGAACTCACTTTGCAGCCCAGGCTGGCCTCGAACTTGCAGCAATCCTCTTGCCTCAGTCTCCCAAGTACTGAAATTACAAGTGTGCACCACCGGTCTCAGCTCTTACTACAATTTTTAAATAAAGAAAAAAATACCAAGCCCTATTTTATTTGCAAGAGAGTTTGTGCATGCGTGCATGCACGTGTGCATGTGCACATCCCTGGTACTGGGGATTGAATCCAGGGGCTGTGCATTGAGATACATCCCCCGTCTTTTTTTTTTTGAGACAAAGTCTTTCTAAATTACCCAGGCCGGTCTTGAACTTATAATTCTCCTGCCTCAGCCTCCCAGAGTGCTGGAACTACAAGTGAGCACCACCATGCCCCACTGATAAAAATCTTTAAAGGCCAGCTCTCCTGAGGGGTGGGAACATCCTTCCCACCACAGTAAGCTAAGAGGTCGCTATCTTGTACTTTGTATTCAGACCTCAAACCCAGCCCCAATAACATGAGCCCTAATGCAAGCAAGCGGCTGTCTCTGGAGCTGGTACTGCCTGGGAAAGCCGACCTTTGAGCTCCCCAGGACCAGGCAGTTGGAGGGTAGCTCACATGGCTGCCAACAAATGCTGAAGCCAACGACGCCGGCTTTCACTCTCGTTGCTTCCCCTTTCGCTTTCCCACAGGGCACAGGCAGCTATGATGAGGGAAAATGGGCCAGACTAAGCAGCCTGGTTTTGGTTTTTGTTTTGAAATTAGAAAGTGTCCCCAGATACCTGCCACTTCTGCGTACAGTTTTGGCCCTGCCAAAAACAGAACTAACAGCCTCCTCCCGCTGTGGTCTCTGTGACATTAGGTCTCCGAATAAACCAGGGACAGGGAACGGGCAGGAATTGCTACTCCTACTCCTGAAGGCTCAAGGACAGAGGAAGCAAACAGTCCCAAGTCCCACAGCCGCCTCCAGTGACCAGGCAGGATCTGCACACGGGGAGTGAGCTTCAGAGTTCTGCTTCCGCACTGCTTTGGAAGACAACTAAAGCAGAGATGGATTCGCGGCATTTTGGCAGCAAACTAAGGCGAGGGAAAATGCTTCCCAGTCTGGCAACTAACGGAATTGGTGGGCCCACCGCAGAGGAGCTTCTGGGAAAAAACAAGCAAGCGCCCCTCTTCTTTCCCTGCAATAAACCCTGACCGTTTTTCTTTTGGATTTCTGCACTGCACAACAGGGCAGGATCTGTTACTCAGCAAAGCTAGTGTGGCAGTGGAACAGAACAAATCACGCCAAATCCGACATGCCTAGTCGTAAACCGAAGGTAGACCTAGCAACAAGCCGAAAGGGAGAAACTAAACTTCCGGCAGCTCACTGACCGCTGCCCCGCGCATGCGTTACGACTCACCGCCCCGAAAGAGCCCCGCCCCATAGAGCCAGATACGGTAGGCGGGCGCCTCTCCTCGCGCATGCGCCAATTGCCCACGCATGCGTGCCTCGACAGCGGTCTTTTCCTATTAGTCCTTTCCCTCCGCTCTGGACCCGAATGCTAGCTGCCTCGGCTCTGCCCCTCCCTTCACGTTCCTCACCTTGCGCCCGGTTTTCTCCCGTAACGCCTTCAGCCGTTCTTTTCTCCGCAGCGCCTCTTCCTCTAGCCGGCCCACACCGGCCGTAGTGGCTGCCATCTTCCCCGCGACACGTTCTATTTTTTTTTCTCTAGTCGCGCGAGATCTCACGGCCAATCCAAGTCGAGGATGGATACGCAGGTACTCCTTCAGAGCCAATCAGTGATGACGTGCTTTCGGAAAGGCCCGCAACTCGCCTGGGGGAATATGGAGCCTAAAAAAAAAAATAAATAAATAACATGCTAAGGCTCGATTTGTCCAACGCTAATCAGCTTCAGCAACGAGTGGAATCAGACCTGAGAAAAAGAGAACAGAGTGCGTCGATTGCTCCTGGTTTTGTCTGTGTACTAAACTAACATCTCATTCCCTGCTGGCCTCTTGAATGCCCTGACCCATCCTTACCCGTCTGCACCGGCTCTTCAGATTAAAATGTTTTGAGAGACCTTCCTGAGCCAGGCGAGTGGCACACTCCTGTAATCCCAGCACTGGGGAGGCTGAGGCAGGAAGATCTTGAGTTTAAGGTCAGCCTGAAATAAGTAGTAAGACAATATCAAAAAAAATAAATAGAAAAGAAACCTTCCTTCATCTTCCACTCAGATCCCACCCTAATGAAGGCTGCCTCTCCCTCCACTACATCTCGTGTGGCCTTGCGCTCCTAAGCAAATCCATGTCTGTTCTTAGCCCAGACAAAATACGCACAGAGTGGGACCTAGTGTCATGGCCTTTCTTCTGAAAAGTGGCATGGACTTCACAGATGATCTCTCCTCTCCCCCTCTCTTCCCACCCCTCTACTCCACGGCAAAGTACTCAGGGTGGAAGACCTTCCCTGGAGGTCAGCGAACTTCACCCTGGGGCAAGTGGGCCCCAGGAACAAGACCATCCACCCCACCCCAGTTTAGAAAGAGTTGGTGTGGCCTGGCCAGCAGTGGCCCCGAGGTACAAGGCTGCCGCGGTCTTTCACCTGCTCTGGTCGCCCGCCTTGGTAACAGAGAATACTTCGGTCAGAAGGCGCAGTCCCTCAAGCCAGTGGGCACCCTTCAGAGAGGAGGCCATGCCCCGTTTCCCCTACCCCACATCCTTCCCGGGACAGCGGCCTCTCACAAGCTGTTCTCCACTCCCGACCCCCTTTAGAAGCTCAAAGACCGCAGACCGACCTGACTGTTAGGGTCCCTCGCCACAGTGGGTACCGTGCCCTGCCAGGGCCTGGGGCGGGAGGCGGTGCTCAGGAAATGTCAGCATGGAGCTCAAAGCAAGGGAGAAGGAGCAGAGGCCGACTATGTGGGAGTCCCCAAGAAGCAAGGAGACAGGGCAAGGATGGGGTTTCCAGGATGGTCAGTTCCTATGACCCACAGCACCTCTCTGGGCCTGATGACACCCCCCCCCAAAAAAAAGACCTGACCCCTGCCTCATGGTGGGGAGGGTATTTCACAGGCAAACTGGGAACGGGGAAGGGGACACAGAAGCCTAGGTCCCTGTCCCTGCTGCCCTGTGAGCCTCAGTTTCTCCCTCTGTAGGCAAGCAGGAGGCGCCCACCCTAAAAGCCTGAAGGAACCTAAGGCGGGCCCTGGAGCATGTGGGGGTGATTACCTCCACAGCACCCCAAAGGCTTCCAACCCAGGGGGATGTTTGGGAATCTGCCCACCCCCGAGAAGGCCATTTCAGGTTCTTTCTGCCCTCCTGCTTGCTCCTGGCGCTTGGTCCCCACACCGCCCCTCACATAACATAGCCTGAAAGTGGCTTTCAGGTCTTTCTAGAAAGCTCCTGAAACCAGGCTTGCTGGCACATATCTGTAATCCCAAGACTCTGGGATACTGAGGTAGGGCGATTGCAAATTTGAGTTCAACCTGGGCCATTTGGGGAGACCCCCATCTCAAAAATAAGTTAAAAATAAAAACGGCTGGAGGCCCGGGCTCAATCCCTCAGTAGCGGGGAAAGCACCTAGGACAGAGCCTGGCCGGCAGCGAGCGCGACCTGTGGCCGTCACGGGAGGTGGGCGGTGTCACCCGTGGGCGAGGCGCCTGGCCCTCCAGTCCGTGCGCTCCGCTCCGATAACCTCCCCCCGCTGCGCGCGTTCTCGCCTGGCTGGTCCCGGGGGCGGGGCGGGAGGCCGAGGCAGGAGGAGGCGGAGCGCGGGCCGCGGCGGCGGGCAGGG